GGACATACAAACATACAGACTGACAAGAAGGCGAGTTAATAAAAACGTGTTAAATAAAAAATGTAATACATTTTCATCTTTTCGCAACGGACTTCGTAATTTTAATAGCAACAACGAACTTTATAAATCGAGTGTTCATATCATACGTCAGTCAAACGCGCAGGAACAAATTGAGACAGTGTAAAAATAATACGGTATTGTATTAAAGATGAATCGGAATGATCGATCGAGGCAGGGCGTTCATTTTAATTTCGATTCCACGAGATAGGGCCCGGAGGCGTGGTCCGTCGAACAATTTATTTCATGTCCCTAGATACCTACCTTTAGTGCGCTGTGGAGGACACGAATAGTTTTTGTGTGAAGATTAAACTGTCGCTAGTGACACTCTTTTCGACACAAGGACAAAGTTATGGATGAATACTACCTTGATAGACATAATCTTCATGATTAAAAAGTAATTTTGAAAAATTTGATATTTTCATCATGCTAATGTATTATTTTCATAATTAATTCACCAGGGATTTTTCCGGACCGATACGACTTAGGGACCTTCAAGAAAAGAGCCTACTCCTTTTTAAAAGGCCGGCAACGCATCTGCAATTCCCCTGGTGTTGCGGTTGTTCATGGGCGGCGGTAGTCACTTACCATCAGGTGAGCCGCATGCTCGTTTGCCCCCTCTCATATAAAAAAAAAAAAAAATTTATTAATGTGACATAATTTTATACTTTGATAACCCATATTAACCAATGTAATATTGGTATATAATAAAAAAATTAAATAAAAATCTGGACTGGATAGGTGGCTATAATTTCGAGTTATTAAAATAATTATATTTACAGTGTAAAAAGTCCAGAGTGAATTCGTAGTTAAACTTCTGACGCCACCTACTGTAAAAGGTAAAACAACGTCTGCCGGACTAGTTAGTTCTATTACATTACAATATATTTATTATAAATGTATATAATATATGTAATACCTAACAAACTGGTGATATGTTATACGCAAAGATAAAGTATATTTTTATGGAAATTTCTTCTTCTACATCATCATCATCATTACAGCCCTACACAAGTCCACAGCTGAACATAGCCCCCCCCCCCTCAAGGAATGCCACAAAGCACGGTCCTGTGCCACCTGTATCCATCGACTTCCTGCATGTCTTACCAGGTCGTCACTCCATCTAGTGGAGGACGACCTACACTTCACCTGCCGGTACGAGGCTGCTACTCCAGAACCTTTTTTCCCCATCGGTTGTCGGTTCTTCCAGCTATATGGCCGGCCACTTCAGCTTACTAATCCTTTGGGCTATGTCCGTAACTCTGGTTCTACTGCGGATATCCTCATTTCTAAGTTTATCACGCAAAAAAACCTCGAGCATAGTCTTCTCCAATTTCTTGTAAAAACTTAAATATACGTAAATAACCGTACAGAAATAAAAATAACACACGGATACCGTTCAGTTCGTAAAGGAATGTAAGATACGTTGTCACTTAGGGAATCAGTCAAAACTTTGTAAATCCAATATCTAAGTTTAGAGCGGGCACAAAAGCGCTGTATCGGGCTGCATAGAGGCGTGCGGCGTTCGATAGCGCCGACAGTGACGGATTACCCCCGGTAGCGGTTCACGGCCGTGCACCAACCATACCGGGCTGTGCTTATTGAGTTCGCGAGAGACACGTCTGAATAAGAATGCGAAAACTGCGATTCTAACGCGATACGAAAAAAACATTCACGTTATCAGACTACGATGCTTCTATAGTGTTTGTTACGAACTTTAATAATATATATGTGCATTAAATTGTTACTATGTGTTATATATTTTGACTTAATACGTATTAGATTCTTGTTTATAACTGTTTCAACGTATCGTAAGAGCATCCACTACTCCATATTGTCTCGTGGGTGTTGTAAGAGGTGACAGATGGCTGAAACATAAGATGGGCAGCAGTATCTTCCAAATAACAAAATCATAATAAAACTGCGCTTGCCAACTCGCCTACCGTGTGTAGCCTCTATGACGTATAATATTATCTCTTATGAGGCAATCTATGGGAGATGTCAATGTTCAGCGGTGGATTTTTTATAGGCTGTAACCAATAAATTAATTATAACTGTTTAAAACACTTAGTATGCTTATAATTATTAAATTACACGTTGTGCAATATTGTTAAAATTACTTTGAGAATACAATCATTGAAGAAAATTTTTAAGAATGTATTTATTTGAAATTTTTATATTTAAGTTTAATAAATAGACATTCTTTAATTTTACTTAGGGGAAGGAGTTTATATTATGTATATATACCCTTATTATGATAACGGGTGCATTTTTTAAATAAAAATCTTTAATCCTTATTCGCATCATGTCTGTGTATAAATAGGTTTGGAATGGAAATTATTTTTGTTGCTAGCATTATAAATATAATATTAAGACATTTTTATAATATTTATACAAGTAAGTGTGACAGAAGAGCACTCGGGCTATCTGATCTGATCTGATCTGATCTATCTTTGATACAAAATCATAATTCAGAATACGTTATTTTGGGCTAACGGAATGTAACTATGGAAATGGAATGCCCCGTTACCAGTAAATAGTGTCTCCGGTACTCGTTCACTCAACATATGAAACACAGTAGCATTATGGTGCTATTTTACGCTGGTTATAGTATGTGAGAACATGTTTCGGCTCCGGTCTGTATAATACAGTTGCAGCGAGTCTCTATTAACGTATATGCAGAATTTCACTTGAAATATAAATAATTTCAACAAAAAGAAGGACACTAAATCAGTTTTATAGGCTACGTTTAAAATATTGTTAAAATTAGAAATATGAGGAAAATATTGTTGAATGCTACATAAATACAATCAGGTAGGTTAGCCTCAATTTGTGTAAGATAAAAGATATAGTGGACAGGAGGTCGTGTTAATGCGATGTTCGGTGCGCTCACCGCTCAGTCGGCGTAGCCCCCTGCAGTGCTCGGCAGGGGGCCGCTTCTGTACGCCGCTTGGTAATTGTTATTAAATAAGAAAATATTTTCTATGACACGCTTTAAAAAGTAAAACTTTGCTCGAGAATTAAAAGTTACATAATGTAAAATTATTAGTTTTTCAAAATTACAAAACGAGAAAACCGTAGAATAAATAATTAAATTCTATTGTAATTTAATACGTTTAGCTGTCAATATTATTTAATTGAATCATCTGTAATGTGGTTTCAAAAAGCATTTCTGTTTAGTTTAAATTTGTTCTAAATTTTTTAAATTGTATAGTAGTTTGTTTACTGAATACAATTTGATCATTCAACTAAATCTTTTGTTTTGGTCTAAAAGTATGCAAACTTGACATTATTATTTCAATATTATAGAAGATGCATCTAGAGCATGATGTATTGGCATTGGTACACCAGGTGAGGTCACGTTCCCACAGGCGGTCGACGGATGATGATGGATCATCTAGTCCGCTCTTTGTTCCTTTCCATTCCGCGTTTTGTCCCGACGACAAATTTGGGGTCATTCTATCTTTCAGTCAGCGATATTGTGACGTTTTATTATGCGAAAAAAACGTTATACTTTTTATACATAAGCTTTATTTAAAAAAAAAATGGGGCATGTAAGTTTAGTGTTCTAAAATGTTCTCACTTATAATTTGTGCTTATAGTGCATGACAAATATCCGTTCCGTTACACGGCGTGTTGGCGGTAGGTCGGTGGCATGAATAATACCACCACCGCGTCGCTGCACCACTCCCACCACGCAACAGTTACGGACAAGAGACGTCGTCGCCGCGCACAATTCAATATATTTCGGAGTAATTTGATGTTCATTAAAGAAACCCTGAGACCGTGAACCAGAACACAATGGTTGAATGGCCATTTGTTGTTGCCGTTGAAAGGAACAATAATAATTCAGTCGTTGTTGTTCACGAGGCAGTTAGGCGCACTTACGAAACGAAGTCATTTCGTGAGGGACTGGCTATTTTGTACAGGTCACCGCTAAGTGATGATGATATTACGTAAAAAAATAACAAAATATTTTATAGAAGAGAAAGCAAGCGAGCATGCGGCTCACTTGATGGTCAGTGCACATGTGATGTTTTATACGTGGTAGAGCCATGCTGCAGCTACGAGTATATTAGTAGTATATTTGTAGCACGAATGGGTCGGCTCGACCGGGGAAGGACTACGCTCTCACAGAATACCAGCGTAAAATAGCAACTCAACACTGCTGTGTTTCGTATGGTGAGTGTAGAGAACCGGAGACCCTTTTTACTGGAAACGAGGCATTCCATCTTAGTCCTCACGGGTGGCAACGCAGCTGCATTTTGATCCGCAAACGAGGATAAATGTAGATGTCTATGGGCCACAGCAACCACTTACCATCAGGTGGACTGTGTGCTCGTCTATCACTCTATACTATAAAAAAATATGATGGAATTAAGCAGCAGAAATTTATCTGAAATTTCCTTAGCTGACATCGTAAAACAATTAGAATTCGGTAGTAACATATCAAAACCTAGTAAGTGACTTTAAAATCTTACTAACAAAGTGATTTGACATTACAATAATGTAAAATTTAAAATTTTGTACAACCGACTTCAATATAAATTATCAAGAATAACTGAAAAACTATTGGTTAAACCTTGATCAAATTTATATGGGACTACAACAGAAGCACCAGCTTTCAAATAAAACCATCGAAATCGGTTTACCCAGAAAAAAGTTATGACACATAACACATATAAAAAAAAAACATTCAGTCGAATTGAGTACCGAGACGCTTTCTGAAATAGGTAGAAAAGATGAAACAACGATAATCAATTCTTAAATATAATTAGAAATTTTAACATCTTAAATCCTTTAATATATTACATATAATTAAAACTTTTCAAGGAATACCTTTATTTATATTTCGTTGCTGTCTTGTAAAACTATATTATAGTACCTACTTACTAGTACTACTTTTGAAATGGGATAGAAGATATAAAACAATCGGCCCTTACCTTGTTGGCTGCTCTTTCTTGTCGTTTTTTTCTCCTTCATCCAGGGATACTCGGGAACGTTAAGACCACCGCCAGGGGAAGGCAGGTCTGGACCGTAACCGGGCGGCGTGTGCTGCGGACTCAACTCGCCTCCTCCTAATTGGGGGAGAGCCGTCATAAACTCCGCCATCGATGGTTGGCTGTTGATAAAGCCAGTTTCAGTGCAAGTCTCAAGCATTGGATGAGGAGCTCCGGCTGCAGTTACTGCTGCGAGCCAGAATCCGTTCCCGCCATGTTCCATCCGGGCGTGTTCCGGTCCAGGCGCGGGTCCCATCGGTGGCGTGTTCCGCGTCTTGACCGCAAACTCCTCTTCCATTTCATCACGTACCCCCATCCCAACTCTGGTTGCCTGTTTCGCTCTGATTGGAATCTCTTCGCATTTTATCTTACGCATCAAGGGGTTACTGTCGAGCGGCAGAGCGGCGGTGTTGCATATTTCTTGCATCTCTGCCTCTATCACCCACTGTCCATAGGGCGATCATTCACGTGTTGTTTGCGATTTCCGTTTCGCAGCATGCGCTAACATTTTCGCTCGTGTGCACAGATTATATTATGTAGTTCAATTTGCACGCAGGCAGGATAGGTTATATCTGAAATGAAACGAAATCGGTCAGTAGTATAGACACTTTGCGGACAATACATAAAAAACGTTGTCAAATTTATGATTATTCTTTACAAAATGGTCCCCAATATTGCGTTAAATTCAGCGACGCTAAATTAAATGTAACAGGAGGCCGTCTCGTGGTTATTTTGCAATTATTCGCGGACGTTCGACATTACCGCAGTTTTGTGCTGAATAATTTGAGCCAAAGCCGTGATGAGACCGCGAATAATGAGCGCTCAGAATTGTTTATTGTAATTTAGCGGCCATCATGAAGTGTGTCTCACGTAATACGGGCTCAACAATAAAGTTATTAAAATTGTCATGAACTCAACGCAGATACAGAAGCAGTGAATGAATGTGTAAATTAAAAAAGGTTATAAAGAGAAGAGCGAAAAATAGAAAATTACGATTTTCATGCGATAATTTATAACAAAGGAATTAAAATCAGAGAACAACAGTTTTTTCTGTTTTAAAACGATGGCTGTATAAACTTCTACTGTTATAAAGTTTGTTGTCATATTTTATCATCATCGTTATCATCATTATGATGAATAAATATGAAATGAGAAGAAACATGTATTGAATACAGTATGAAAGAATTAAAATTATAATTTATGCTTTATTTACGAACTACGTTGTCTTTACTACGGGTGGTTTAGTAGTTTGCAGTAGCTATGTAAATATACGTTTACCAAATTAAGTAAGAGATTGAAGTTTATGTAACGTTTTTTTTTTGTAAAGTTGTAGTGACAAGCGAGCTTACAGTCCTGAAGTTATCTGACGGTAAGTGTCTACTGCAGTGCATGGTCACTTGCAATGCAATTAACTTCAAAAAATTATATTAGGTATTCACCTCTTTCATTATGATAATATTAGACAATCTAAAATAAGATATTCCTATAAAAAGAGATATTGGCTAGTACTCGACACTGCATTATTAAAATTCGACAATTCCCACCCGAGTTACAAAATCGCACTGCTGGTCACTCAGTGGTGAACTGATACATTCGATTATTTTTCTTTCTCATTGGTTGTCGGTTCTTGGAATGTATCAGTGATTTTTAATGGAAAGTTTCAATCCCGAGGCAATATTTTGTCCATCACACTTTGTTTAGTATTTTTAAAATAATTTATTGAAAAAAAAAAACAAAACATTTCATGCATATGGTCTGATTTTATTGGTTGCAACTTGTTGAACTAGTGTATACGCAGCCCCTGCTGACACTAAAGTCGAAAAATTACATTTACGCCGAATTCAAGCTTTCCGTTCCACTTGAATATCAATTAAAATTCAAAACGCGTACGAAATACGATTTTTTCCACTGGAATTTGCGGCGCGCCCCGAGGTATGACGGGATCGCGCCTTTTTGTTTTATTTTCTTTTTTTTTCAAATGGGACGGCTGGTGGTTAAACCCATTTTAATGCGTGCGGGTTGCTGTGTGCTCTGAATTAAAATTTAGTGTACGTACGTCACCCGTCCGAGGATCGGACAATGAAATGTAATTTCCTTTCATAAATTAATGTTGTCACTAACTTATGTTCATATTTTCCTGCACTGATATGAGTTTATCGAGTAGTATTGGGCGTTGGTAATACAAACATAATTTATAGATATATATACTTAATACAGTCACTGAGTTACTTAAAAGTCGTATGTAAATATGCAGAATTTATGAAATTTATATTATAAATTACCTGAGTAAATATTAAATCGTATCGTATTGCACACCAATACACTTTAATATTAAGGGCCGTACGTAAAGTTTTTTTTTTAATAGGATGGGGTGACAAACGAGCACACAGTCCACCTGAAGGTAAGTGGTTGCTGTGGCCCATAGACATCCACATTTATCCTCGTTTGCGAATCAAAATGCAGATGCGTTGTCACCCGTGAGGACTAAGATGTAATGCCTCTTTTCCCGTAAAAAGGGTCTCCGGTTCTCTACACTCACCATACGAAGCACAGCAGTGTTAAGCTGTTATTTTACGGTGGTATTCTAAAATATATATATATATATATATATATATATATATATGGTGGCTCTACCACGTATAAAGCAGTGCTTTATACGTGGTAAAGCCACTTAAGTTGGTTCAATAGATGATCAGCTCAGCTGTTAACGATTTCATTTAGATAATGTTGTACGCTGGGAACTAATATAACCAAAGAATAATGAAGGGGTGGCGTATTTCATCATAAACCTAAATGCAAAGAAAATAGTGATTACAGTCATTGGTAAACAAAGGCAAAGTTTATAGTTAGCTGGTGGCTATGATGCCTGCTAGATGCTATAAGACGTGCGGTTGCTGCGTAAGCTACCAGAAAAGGCGGCTATGGGGATTGTCTGAAAGATCTTATGACGACGATTAAACCAACTACCGTAGACGCCAGAAGAAAAATACAGAAACTGGCGACGGGGAGAAGGGTTAAAGGTGCAAGACGTTTGGTAGGTACTGCAATAGCTGATGCATCTGACAAGCGTATTAGGGTAGATTTTCACTATAACGAGGTAAACCCATGTCCAGCAGTGAACTTCCAATCGGACTGAGGTACAAGAAGAAGAGGATAGACGCTAGATCTATGGTATGATAGCTGTCAAGAATTTAGTGAACTATGAATAAGACCACATGTCGATAGTAAGCAATAAAATCTTCAAAGTATAAATAAACAAAAAATCTATCAATTTATCGATTTTTAGCCATGTGTTTATGAAATTCTAATAAATTGTAGAATTCTTATAAAACTCGCAGAAAAATACGGATAGCAGTAGAGTAAATAGAGTAGGGAAGAGAACTATTCTATAGCTGTAATAAATTGATGAAAATATTAGTTGAATAGTACTTGAGAATATGCAAATGGGCTAGAATAATCCTTAGTAAATGAAAGGAGAAGGAGACGTCTCCATACATTCTTAGACCCAAGTGTTAACAAGATGAAAGTAGGACCATTAGAAAGCATATATATAAACAATTCATGGCTGAAAAACTGGCAAGATTTGTCAATCCAAGAGCTCAGTTATTGTAGAATAAGTAAAAGTGAGATTATCTATTATCTACACTGTAACAGGTAATTTTCATTGTTATTACACTGTAACAGGCTATTTTTCACTATAATTTCATAAAGATATAAAAGCAGAACCAGTATAAAATCAACATAAAAGCTGTGGTTAATAATGAACGAAATGATGAAACGATTAACGAAAGTTAAAATAACAACTAGGTGAAGTGAATATTAGGAATATCGACCTGAGATCGATATTTGAATTGTTGTTGTAACTGTTACTTGTTGGAATTTTGATATTTTGTATTTTTCATTATTATTTTGTAGATATGTAGGCAATTTTTTTATCTCCCTAGTTAACATAGAAAAATAATCGAAAATAGATATTATAATGCTCAATTTAAACGAGAATCGATTATATTGCGTTCGTTTCAAATCGAATTGAAAATCTGTCTTTTTCTTTTAAGTAAATAGTTTGAAGTTTGAACTGTCAAGTTTCAAAATGAGAAATCCTCTATTGGAAGATAACGTTCAGAAACGAGAGTTTCACTAGTGCATTCTTTATGGTAATCGATTTATTGCCACAAATAATACACTACAATCGATTTTCTAACTTATTTCTTAATTTATTGTTTTTTTTCGAAATCTAGATTGTAAAAGGAGCTACTTTTTTGTATTTTACTTAAGAAAAATATGAACAATTTTTTAAAGTATTTACCAATTAGTTAACTTCAGACCCAAAAATCCCATTCTCGTTTAACACAAAAGTGTTTTTTCAGTTATGAAACTCATATAGGATACAAGCTGGCGTCAAATAATTTAAACTGTAGTGAATGTTCGCTTGTATTTCCCTCGTGTTTCTAGGGGTGTCGTAGGTTTTACGGTGCGTTTCACATTCACCGGTTATCCCACGAGGGAGAGCCGTTTTAAAAACGCATAAAACCGAGAGCGCAGACTACTTATGAATTTGTTTATGGCGCTATTTTGAAGTAATGGCGACGTTGAAGTCAAAGCTTAAAGCTTACGGATAACAATTTTACTAATTTAATGTTCTTAAATTTTCATTGATATAGAGTGTGCTCCAGTGGGATTGTTAAAATACTTTAAATTTTCATATGCTGGAATATAATCTGAAGAAAAGTACACATACCGTTGTATTCCACTATACCTGAAATGGGTTCTGTTGGCTTAGAGCGATTTGAAAATTTATTTCAAATTTTATTCCATGCTTAATTTCACAATGAATAACTGATAGTTTCATTAAAATGTACCATCAAAAAAATAATGTGAAAAACAGATACAAGTGCCGTATAATCGATGTCTGGAGTTGTCAACCCCAGACGTCGATTATACGCCGATAGGCTTCGCCTATAGTAGAGTTCTTAAATTATTGCTACAGTTACAGGCTCCCCCGGGGTAAGTCCATACTCTCACAAAGTACCAGCGCAAATGGCAAATTCAAATAATAATCACTTAACTACAGGGCTGTTTTTTGACTTATCTAGAGCTTTTGACTTAGTCTTACACGACCTCCTGCTACAAAAACTCGAAAAGCTTGGGGTTAGAGGACCTATTCTTCAGTGGATATCTTCATACCTAAGTAACAGACAGCAATGTGTTACAATCATGAAAATAGAAGGAAATAAGGATTTCATACCGTACTCGTCCGAATATAAAATCAATAGGCGTTCCACAAGGAAGTATGCTCGGTCCTCCTTTATTTCTATTATACATAAATTACAATGTTATTGTAACGAATCATAAATACATATTATTCGCGGATGATATTTCAATTATTGTGACTTCTAATAAAAATATAATACTATTAATGACCACGAG